CTGGGGGCACTTTTGTATGGGCGAAAGGGTGTAATAACACGTTTTCTGGGGCCCGAGTTTTCAGTCGTCTCCGATGCCGGCTAGGGCTATATTTAGGCTTGCTGTGAAATAGTGAACCCGGAGGGTCCAGTTGCGTCCAGAAGCGTCAGGCTGTCGTTCACCGGCTCGGAGTTACGCCGTCCCGGGGACCGGGGATTCAGACAGTCCAGAGTGGCAGTCGTCCGGATGTGGTCCCTGGGCTCCGGTCCTGGGTGACGTGTGTGCTAGCCGCGCCGGAGTCCGGGTCCCACCTTGGGCGGCTCGGCGAAAGTGATCGCAAGACACGGGTGACCGGCCACAAGCGGTGTGGGTGCCAGCCCTGCCGCGAAGCACGAGGCTGTCCTCCACCGGCTCGTGGGCTGGCAGTCGCGGGGACATGGGGTTCTCTCCTGTCCGGAGGAGCAGCCGTCCGTCCCGAACACCCACGCTCCTATCCTAGGCGACGTGTGTGCTAGCCGCACTGGGGTCCGGGAGGGACCTCGGTCGGCTCCGCTATTTTGATCGCAGGACACCAGTGTCCCTCCACGGGCAGCGTGGGTCCGGCTTCCCGAGCCCTTTGGCTCCATCCTGGGTGTCGTGTTTGCTCGCCGCAACGGTGTCCGGATCCCATTTCGGGCGCCTCAGTGAAGGAGATCCTACGACACGGTTGTCCGGCCATAAGCACTGTGGCTGCCAGCCGTGTCGACAAGTGGAGGCTGTCGTTCAGCGGCTCGGAGTTACGCAGTGCCGGGGACCGGGGATTCAGACAGTCCAGAGCGGCAGGCGTCCGGATGTGGACCCTGGGCTCCGGTCCTGGGCGACGTGTGTGCTAGCTGCACGGGGGTCCGGGTTCTGTCTTGGGCGGCTCGGGGAACGAGATCCCACGACACAGTGCTCCGGCCACGAGCTGCATGCGTAGCAGCCGTGTCGTGAAACAGGATGCTGTCATCCGCTGGCTCGGGGGCTGGCTGTCCCCGAGACGAAAGCTTCTGTCCTGTCCGGAGCGGCAGCCGTCCTTCCCGAACGCCAAGACTCCAGTACTGGGCGATGAGTGTGCTAGCCGCACTAGGACCCGGTCGAACCTCTGTTGGCTCCTCTATTTCGATCGCAGGAAACGTGTGTCCCTCTACGGGCTGCGTGGGTCCGGCTTCCCGAGCCCCTAGGCTCCGGTCCTGCGCGACATGTGTGCTAGTCGCACCGGGGTCCGGGTCCCGCCTTGGGCGGCTAGACGAAAGTGATCGCAAGATACGGGTGACCGGCCAGAAGCGGTGTGGGTGCCAGCCTTGCCGCGAAGCAAGAGGCTGTGTTCCGTTCGCTCGGCAACTGTCCGTCCCGGAACGGCCGCCGTCCATCCCGAACGCCAAGACTCCGGTCCCGGGAGACGTGTATGCTAGCCGCGCAAGGGTACGAATCCCGTTTACGGGCGGATTCGGGACAACGATCCCATGACACGTTTGTACGGCCACGAGCGGCATGGGAGCCAGACTTGCCGCGAAGCGTGCAGCTGTCCTCCGCCGGCTCGTGGGCTGGCAGTCGCAGGGACATGGGGTTCTGTCCTCTCCGGAGAGGCAGCCGTCCGTCCCGAACACCCACGCTCCTATCCTGGGTGTCGTGTGTGCTAGCCGCACTGGGGTCCGGGTGGGACCTCGGTCGGCACCGGTCCTGGGCGATGTGTGTGCTAGCCGCACTAGGACCCGGTCGAACCTCTGTCGGCTCCTCTATTTCGATCGCAGGAAACGTGTGTCCCTCTACGGGTTACATGGGTCCAGCTTCCCGAGCCCCTAGGCTCCGGTCCTGCGCGACGTGTGTGCTAGCCGCACCGGGGTCCGGGTCCCGCCTTGGGCGGCTCGACAAAAGTGATCCCATGACACGGGTGACCGGCCACAAGCCGAGTGGGTGCCAGCCTTGCCGCGAAGCAGGAGGCTGTGGTCCGCTCGCTCGGGAACTGTCCATCCCCGAGACAGGGGTTCTGTCCAGTCCGGAGCCTTTGGAGGGACACTCGTGTCCTGCGATCGCCATAGCGGAGCCAACAGAGGTCCGACCCGGACCCCAGTTCGGTTAGCACACACGTCGCCCAGGACTTGAGCGTGGGTGTTTTGGACGGATGGCTGCCGCTCCGGAGAGGACAGAACCCCATGTACCCGCGACTGCCAGCCCACGAGGCGGAGGATGACAGCCTCACGCTTCTCTGCAAGTCTGGATCCCATGCCGCTCCTGGCCGGACTACCGTGTCATGGGATCATTGTCCCCAGTCCGCCCGAAACGGGATCCGGACCGCAGTGCGGCTAGCACACACGTCGCCCCGGACCGGAGCCTAGGCGTTCGGGAAGGACGGCCGCCGCTCTGGACTGGACAGAACCCCTGTCTGGGGGACGGACAGTTCCCGAGCGAGCGGACCACAGCCTCCTGCTTCGCGGCAAGGCTTGCACCCACACCGCTTGTGGCCGGTCACCCAAGTCGTGGGATCACTTTCGTCGAGCCGCCCAAGGCGGGACCCGGACCCCGGTGCGGCTAGCACACTCGTCGCCCAGGACTGGAGCGTCGGTGTTCGGAACGGACGGCCGCCGCTCCGGACAGGACAGAACCCCCGGTCTCGGCGACGGCCAGCCCCCAAGCCAGCAGACAAGAGTCCTGGCTTCATGACACGGCTGACAACCGTGCTGGTCGAGGGCGGACAACCCTGTCGTGGACCTCGGTCCCCGAGCCTCCAGAAACGGGACAGGGAGTCCGCTGCGGCTAGCACACACGTCGCCCAGGATCGGAGCCAAGGAGCTCTGCACAGCCAGTCCCACACTGCCCGTAGACGGACACCCGTGTCCTGCAATCACTTTCCTGGAGCCGATCGACGTGGGACCCGGACCGCGGTCCGGCTAGCACACACGTCGCCCAGGATCGGAGCCCAGGGTGTCGATACGGACGGCTTCCGCTCCGGACAGGAAAGAACCCCGGGGCCGCGTGATTGCCAGCCTCCGAGCCGGCGGATGACAGCCTCCAGCTTCTCGACATGGCTGGCACCCACACCACTTGTGGCCGGACAACAGTGTCATGCGATCGCTGTCCCCAATCCGCACAGACGGGATTGTTACCCCGCTGCGGCTAGCACACACGTCGCCCAGGACCGGAGCCTAGGCGTTCGGGAAGGACGTCTGCATCTCCGGACAAGACAGAACCCATGGTCTCGGGGACAGCCACTCCCCGAGCCAGCGGATGACAGCCTCCTGTTTCACGACACGGCTGCTATGCCTGCAGCTCGTGGCCGCACTACCGTGTCGTGATATCGCCTTTTCCGATCCGCCCTAGATGGGGCCCGGACCACGGTGCGACTAGCACACACGTTGCCCACGACCTGAGTCAAGGGGCTCTGGACGGTCGGCTCCCGCGCCTCTGGACGGATATAACTGGGAGCGTGGGATGGTCGTTCGCCGATCCGCACGGGATGGAACGGGAACGGCGAGTCCCAGTAGTAGCGGAAACCAGCCTCCCGCTTCACGGCACGGCCGGCCAACATGCCGATCGAGGCTGGACACCCGGGACACGGGACAGTCTGCCGGCATGCCGCCTGACACAGTCCACAGATTTCGGAACAGCCGGTCCCCGAACGTCTCAACAGCAACAACCTCGTTCAACGCACGGCAAGCACCGCACCGTATGTGGCCAGATACCTGTGCCATTGGATAGCCGTCTCCGAGACATCCGAGGTCGGCTCTGGACCCCGGTGCGGCTAGCACTATTGTCTCCCAAGAACGGAACCAAGGGGCTCGGGATGGTCTGCTTCCTCGCCTCCGGACAGATCATGCTTCATTTTATTGCCTGAATAGCCTAACTTTTATAGAGAACTTAACAGGGGTGACAGTGTGTGTCAGGTGGACACAAGGTTATTGGTCAAAAGCACTCAGACAAACAACTATAAGAAAACAACCCCACCTGCAAGAAAACAACCCCTTGTGATTAGCAGTCACATAGACCTTGTCCTTGAAGCCAGCTACTGGTAACAATATTTTTCTGAATTCCTCAATTGGGCGATGTGGGAACACTGTCATGGGAACTTCTCATAGTTGCCCTGGTAGCTTGGTTTGCTCAGCTACAGCAAGCCATGGGATTTTTGCTGTTTCAAGAAATCCCTCAACAATTCCCCCTTCTTTTGAGCAAACCAAGCCCAACACAGCAGTTTTACAAGCAACTCTTTAGCTATACTTACAACACACAACGATGATTACCACCACCATAAACCAAATCCTTAATCCCCTTGTGACTAAACCCAGCAACCATCTACACATTGTTTCAAACAAGTCAGTGAACCATTGATTGAAAGGATTGATACCATATTGAATCTTTCTCATATGCTCTTTCAGGAAAGTAATGGATTTGTGAATTGACTCATTCTGATCAGAAAGGTTTAAAGAGTACATTCCCTTAAAATCCTCACACCCATTCCTTTGAGCCAAAAGCAAGATGTCAATAGCAGCTTGATCCTGTAAAAGCAGATGTCGCAGACTATTTTGATCTGGTAACATCTCCTCAAGTATCTCTGTCATGGCATAGGCTTGCCTCTCGGCCCAGCATTCCAATTTTTCTAAGTTGTTACATGTGGCCGCAGATGCCACTCCAGGCACTGAAATTGCTAATGCCGCTCTAGCTGCAACCCCACACAATTCAACATTATCATTGCAATCCGATGCAAGCAATGCCCATTTATGTCTGGTGATCTCACGCAACTGTAGCAAGCTAGGAGCAAATACAATGAGTTTATCTAAGTAACATGGACATCTGACAGCATTTGCAGGGATACCATGCCAGGCCCCATCCCCACAAATCAGAAGCACATCAGGAGGCAAGGCCAAAGCTGTACAATTGTTCCAAACACTGTAGTTGTTACCCCTTGTCTCCATGCTATAAACTCCTAAACCCTGCTTAGCAGTGTCATTGTAATCACAGGTGCTATTTGTGTTTTTGTACCGGTATGGCCCTTTCCCAGTTCCTGTAGCAGGATTCATCTGATAGCCACGGCTACGTTCACATTTGTAGCCACCTTTCAGGTTGATACAGATTTGACTACAGATACCAGGGTTTTGACATTCATCAATTCCACAGTTTCTCTTTTCTACAAAGTCAAACCCAGCTGGACAGTCACATTCATTTATGTTGCATTCCTTCAGGGCTCATCACCCCAGTCCTTGCAGTCTCTCTGCTGGTTACACACTTTATTGGTATCTATGCATTCTCCACTTCTGCACTTGAATTTGCCAGGTCCAGAGCACTGAATAACATTGTTACAGTTTGCTTCATCAGTGCCATCCAGACCGTCTCTCACACCACTGCACTGCCTTCTTCCGTGGACACAGTTCCCATCTACACATCTGAACTGGTCTGGCCTGCAGGTCCGAGAAGGGCAGTTAATTTCATCACTTCCATCCTTGCAATCAGGATCTCTGTCACATCGCCACTTCTTGTGGATACATTCACCTGAGATGCACTGCACCTCACTCGCAGAACACTTCACTGGAGGTGCAGGCTGGCGGCCACACTGCTCCAAAGATTCATCCGAGTGGTCGGAGCAGTCAGCATCATCATCACACACCCAGCTGATAGGGATGCAGGTAGAATTCTTGCACTGAAACTCATGAACACCACAGGTAGGAGGTGCACACTCCAGCTCATTGCTACCATCACTGCAGTCATCTTGACCATTGCAGACAAAGCTTTTGGAAATACATTGCCCACTACTGCATGTGAATTCTGCTGCACTACAAGTCACAATGCCACAATTCTCTTCATCTTCTGCACTGTCACAGTCCTTTTCACCATCACATTTCCAGGACACTGGGATACACTGGACTGACTGAGGACCACAGCTAATTTCATTTACCCGACATGTTCTCATATGACACAGATCAGCACTCTCATCAGACCCATTTTCACAGTCCGGATCCCCATCACACGGCCATCTATTTGGCACACACTGACCACTGTTGCACACAAAGTCAGATTCAGCACACGTCTTCTTCACACAAGCACTCTCATCACTGCCATCTGAGCAGTCTTCACATTTTGCTCTAGCACTGTCGGCAGCAGTGCACAGGCAGGCGAGGGCGAGCAGCAGGCAGAATGCCCCACAGCGCAGCAGCGCCCGGCACAGCTCTGCACCAGTGTCACTTATACTACTCCTATTACCCGTGCTGTCAGTGTCAGTGGCATCCTCCTGGTACCGTTTCTGTCTTTGCCGCCCCTTACTCTCCCCCTTTTCTTTTTGCCACTGACCATTCACCACAAATGGATAAGACACATGATTACTAGTTAGGAAAGAGAGTGTAACATCTGCTATACGGCTGCAGGCAGTGCCAGCTGCAATCCTAGAAGCTGTTTGTGAACGAGCCTGCCGGTGGTCATTTGGCAGTGTAATCTGCGTCTCTGCACTCCTGCTCTGCAATAGAGCTAAGTCGTCATTAATAGTCCGTAGAATGAGGCAACCCCACAGAATGTTATCCAGAAACCAAGTTATAACACCGATCTGGGGACGAATAGTCTTTTTGCATTGCAAGATAAACCTCTTAAAAAAGAATGCCAGAGAGAAGCAGCACAGCCGCTGCTGCTGCCTCCATGGTTACGTCAGACAGGCTGCAGGGTCCTGATGTCCGCCCCTCTGCTCTGTGCCGACTCGCCACACGGTGAGGGTCGGCTGCCGTTGTCCGCTGACGCCTCTGGTCTCCCGTAGCAACTCGATCTCAGATGTCCCGCATCGCACCGCGATTACTTCAACTTCATGCAATTACTTCAAATTTCCCGCGTCTCTCCGCGATTCCTTCTTCCACGTCCCACCGCGATTCCGCGTCCCACCGCGATTCCCTTTTCCGCGTCCCACCGCGATTCCTTTTTCCGCGTCCCACCGCGATTCCGCGTCCCACCGCGATTCCCGTTTCCGCGTCCCACCGCGATTCCCTTTTCCGTGTCCCACCGCGATTCCTTTTTCCACGTCCCACCACGATTCCTTTTTCCACGTCTTACCGCGATTCCCTTTTCCGCGTCTCATTGCGATTCCGGGATATATTTAGGCTTGTTGTGAAAGAGCGAATACGGAGGGTCCATTTCCATGTGGGGCTGCGTAAAGGCTCCCCTGGGCAGTCCAGTTGTACCCAAAGACTTCCCTTGGGGCACTTTTGTATGGGCGAAATGGGCTCGGAACGCATTTTCTGGGGCCCGAATTTTCAGTCATCTCCGATGCCGGCCAGGGCTATATTTAGGGTTGTTGGGAAAGGGCGAACACGGAGGGACGAGTTGCATGTGGGACTGCAAAAAGGCTCCCCTGGGGAGTTCAGTTGTACCCAAAGCCTTCCTTTGGGGGCACTTTTGGATGGGCGAAAGGGGTTCGCAACGCGTTTTCTGGGACCCCCTTTTAAGGTCGTCTCCGATTCCAACTAGGGCTATATTTAGTGCTGCTCGGAAACAGAGAACCCGCAGGGTCCAGTTGCATGTGCGGTTGCATAAAGGCTCCTCTGGGGAGTTTAGTTGTACCCAAAGCTTTCCTTTGGGGGCACTTTTGGATGGGTGAAAGGGGCTCGCAATGCGTTTTCTGGGACCCGATTTTTCAGTCGTCTCCGATGCCGGCTAGGGCTATGTTTCGGGTTGCTCGGAATGAGTGAACACGGAGGGACCAGCTGCATGTGGGGCTGCATAGAGGCTCCCCTGGGCAGTTCAGCTGTACCCAAAGCAACCTTTGGGGGCTCTTTTGGATGGGCAAAAGGGGCTCGGAACTCGTTTTCTGGGGCCCGAGTTTTCAGTCGTCTCCGATGCCGGCCAGGGCTATATTTAGGGTTGTTGGGAAAGGGCGAACACGGAGGGACGAGTTGCATGTGGGACTGCAAAAAGGCTCCCCTGGGGAGTTCACTTGTACCCAAAGCCTTCCTTTGGGGGCACTTTTGGATGGGCGAAAGGGGCTCAGAACGTGTTTTATGGGGCTTGAGTTTTCAGTCCTCTCCCATGTGGGCCAGGGTTATGTTTAGGCTTGCCCGGAAAGAGCGAACCCGGAGAGTCTAGTTGCATGTGGGGCTGCGTAAAGGCTCTCCTGGGGAGTTCAGATGTACCCAAAGCCTTCCTTTGGGGGCACTTTTAGATGGGCGAAAGGGGTTCGCAACGCGTTTTCTGGGGCCTGCTTTTTCAGTCGTCTCTGATGCTGGCTAGGGCGATGTTTAGGGTTGCTTGGAAGCAGCGAATCCGGAGGGTCCAGTTGCATGTGGGGCTGCGTAAAGGCTCCCCTGGGGAGTTCAGATGTACCCAAAGCCTTCCTTTGGGGGCACTTTTGGATGGGCGAAAGGGGTTCGCAACGCGTTTTCTGGGGCCCGCTTTTTCAGTCGTCTCTGATGCTGGCTAGGGCGATGTTTAGGGTTGCTCGGAAACAGCGAACCCGGAGGGTCCAGTTGCATGTGGGGCTGCATAAAGGTTCCCCTGGGGAGTTCACTTGTACCCAAAGCCTTCCTTTGGGGGCACTTTTGGATGGGCGAAAGGGGCTTGTAACGCGTTTTCTGGGGACCGAGTTTTCAGTCGTCTCCCTGGTGGGCCAGGGCTATGTTTAGGCTTGTTCGGAAAGAGCGAACTCGGAGTGTCCAGTTGCATGTGGGGCTGCGTAAAGGCTCCCCTGGGGAGTTCACTTCTACCCAAAGCCTTCCTCTGGGGGCACTTTTGGATGGGTGAAAGGGGCTCGCAATGCGTTTTCTGGGGCCCGATTTTTCAGTCGTCTCCGATGCCGGCTAGGGTTACGTTTAATGTTGTTTGGAAAGAGCGAACAAGGAGGGTCAAGTAGTATGTGGGGCTCTCTAAAGGCTCCCTTGGGGAGTTCAGTTGTACCCAAAGCCTTCCTCTGGGGGCACTTTTGGCTGGGCAAAAGAGGCTCGGAACGCGTTTTCTGAGGCCTGAGTTTTCCGTTGTCGCCGATGTCGGCCAGGGCTATATTTAGGGATGTTGGAAAATGGCAAACACGTAGGGACCAGTTCCATGTGGGACTGCAAAAAGGCTCCCCTGGGGAGTTTAGTTGTACCCAAAGCCTTCCTTTGGGGGCACTTTTGGATGAGCGAAAGGGTCTCGCAACGCCTTTTCTGAGGCCAGAGTTTTCAGTCGTCTCCGATGGTGGCTACGGATATGTTTAGGCTTGCTCAGGAAGAGCGAACTCGAAGGGTCCAGTTGCATGTGGGGCTGCGTAAAGGCTCCCCTGGGGAGTTCACTTGTACCCAAAGCCTTCCTTTGGGGGCACTTTTGGATGGGAGAAAAGGGCTCGGAACGCCTTTTCTGGGGCCCGATTTTTCAGTCGTCTCCGATGCCGGCTAGGGCAATCTTTAGGCTTGCTCAGGAAGAGCGAACCCGAAGGGTCCAGTTGCATGTGGGGCTGCATTAGAGGCTCCCCTGGGGAGTTCACTTGTACCCAAAGCCTTCCTTTGGGGGCACTTTTGGATGGGCGAAAGGGCTCAGAATGCGTTTTCTGGGGCCCGCTTTTTCAGTCATTTCCGATGCCGGATAGGGATATGTTTAGGCTTGTTTGGAAACAGCAAACCTGGACGGTCCAGTTGCATGTGGGGCTGCGTAAAGGCTCCCCTAGGGAGTTCACTTGTACCCAAAGCCTTCCTTTGGGGGCACTTTTGGATGGGCGAAAAGGGCTTGTAAAGCGTTTTCTGGCGCCCGAGTTTTCAGTCGTCTCCGATGCCGGCTAGGACTATATTTAGGGTTGCTCTGAAACAACGAACCTCGAGGTTCCGTTTGCATGTGGGGCTGCATAAAGGCTTCCCTGGGGACTTCAGTTGTACCCAAAGCCTTCCTCTGGGGCCACTTTTGGATGGGCGAAAGGGGCTTGTATAGCGTTTTCTGAGGCCCGAGTTTTCCATTGTCGCCAATGCCGGCCAGGGCTATATTTAGGGATGTTGGAAAAGGGCGAACACGTAGGGACCAGTTGCATGTGGGACTGCAAAAAGACTCCCCTGGGGAGTTTAGTTGTACCCAAAGCCTTCCTTTGGGGGCACTTTTTAATGGGCGAAAGGGTCTCGCAACGCCTTTTCTGGGGCCTGAGTTTTCAGTCGTCTCCGATGCCGGCTAGCTGTGAATATTTAGGCTTGCTGTGAAAGAGCGAATATGGAGGGTTCAGTTGCATGTGGGGCTGCGTAAAGGCTCCCCTGGGGAGTTCAGTTGTACCCAAAGCCCATCTTGGGTGAAGCTCAACTCCCCAGGGGAGCCTTTACGCAGCCCCACATGCAACTGGACCGTCCTTGTTCGCTGTTTCCGAGCAACCCTAAACATAGCCCTAGCCGGCATCGGAGAAGACTGAAAAAGTGGGCCCCAGAAAGCGCGTTGCGAACCCCTTTCGCCCATCCAAATGTGCCCCCAAAGGATACAAAGGCAATGAACAAACATTTATTGTGTATTACAATCCCTCATCTTTCTTTTAGTTACTCCTTTTGTTCATTGAATCTCTGCAATGCTTGGCTACTAAGAACTAATGTTTCCTCGATTTCTTCGTTAGTAATTACTGGTTCATATTTGGCACGTATGAGCATTATATGTGCCGCTTCTAAACGACCTTTTACAATCGCAAGCAGTTTATTTAAAATACATGGCCCGTAAGTTAGCACTGCTATTAATAACAATAAAGGTCCTTCTATAGTTGATAGTAAGGTAGTAAGCCAAGGTGAATAATTAAACCAAGATTCCTACCAATTCTGTCAGTCTTCATATTCCCATTTTCTCTTCTCCAATCCTTCCCTGAGCTTGGACTCTTTCCAAGTCTTAATTAAAACCTTGTCCCCGGGTTGTATCTTGTTAATTGCTATATCTAATGGAGGGCGTTGTGCTACCAAACCTTTCGCTCGGAGCTCCCTCTGTCGGTTCGTGAGTTGTATTAAATAAGGTCTCAACTGGGCATCCTGTAACTGAGGGTGATCAAGTGGCAATTCCAAGTCATAGGGCATACCATATAACATTTCAAAAGGAGAAATTCCTACATCAGTCCTGGGCTGTGTCCGTATGTTTAACAGTGCAAGAGGTAAACATTTTACCCAAGAGGCTTTTGTTTCCAGCATTAGTTTAGTTAGTTGTTTTTTAATTTCACCATCCATTCGCTCTACCTTTCCAGAACTTTGGGGATGCCACAGAGTGTGGTATTCCCAGCTTGTTCCTAGAGCTTTCATGGTCTCTTGAGACACTTTGGAGACAAAATGAGGGCCTCGGTCAGAGTCAATTGTTTCTACAATTCCATATCTAGGAATAATATTCTCAAGTAGTATTTTTACCACGGTTTTAGCCGTGGCCCTTGCTGTCGGAAAAGCCTCCACAAAATGTGTAAGATGATCTACAATCACTAATAGATATTTGTACCTCCCTGTTTTTGGGAGGTCTGTAAAGCCCAATTGAATTTTAGCAAAAGGTCGGTGAGCCAATTCCCGACCTCCCAATACTTTTTTTCTCAAGTGTTGGGCGTTTACCTTTCTGCAAGTTAAACAATCATTTACAATTCGTTTTGCTATATTATAAATTTCAATACACATATACTTCATTGCAAATTGATCCACCAATGCTTGAGTTCCCCAGTGGGTGTTTTCGTGAAACCTTTGTAATACCCTCAGAGCTGCGGATTTTGAAAGCATTCCCCGTCCATCAGGCAGCACCCATTTGCCTTTATCTGTTTCTTTTATCCCCATTTGAATCATTTTGCTTTTTTCTTGTAATGTGAAGCTAAGCAGAGTATAAATTGGCCTATGATGGTAACAATGTGTGTATTTCTTCCTGTCCCCCCATTCATAATCATAGCATGGAAATTTCATTGAATCATTCCTGCAGTCTGAGCAGTCTTCCCTTGTTTTTATAATTCGCTGGTGTCCTTTAACGTGTACTACAGCAATTTCTTTAGGTCCTCTGATAGCCTGTAAGACTTGGCTAATCAGTTCTTGGTGTACTACTCCCTTTCCCTGTGAATTAACGAGCCCTCGCTCTTCCCATATTTTACCAAATGTATGTAATACCCTGTGTGCATATTTTGAATCTTTATATATTGTG